GGAGGAAAACATTTTATTTCAGCCTGTGTCTCTCCAAGCTTTTTAAAAATTGACTATGTAATTGAACAGGTGTCACAGGGAGGAACAAGGGTTGGCAGTCCAAGAGCAACTTTTTGCATGAAATGAGAACTATAGGTAAAGCCTGAGATTGAAATGCAACATCCCAGGGTCACTTTCCAAAGCACCATCAGAAGTAGGATCACTCCATCTTCTTGCAAGCTTATAAAATAACTGTCAAAATGAGATTTGTCCAGAACATTTTGTCTGGTTTTTTTAAGGGTCTAAATGTTGCAGTTAGCTCTACAAACCTAAGTCCACTCTCTGGTGTAAAACCTTGGCACAATATTGGGCTAATGCTGCTGTACTACTTCCACATATAAGCAAGTGCTTCTAACAGCATTGATCTGCACTGCATGCAGGCAGCAACTCCAGGCAGCACAACCTGGGGTATCTGTGTAATTCTCCACTGCACAGTGAAGATGTGCTCTTGGAGACTTGTAAGGAATTACCAATTTTCACTTCCTTTGCTAGCCATTAACCTATAAGCAGTGTACCAGGGATAGCTAAAGAGAAACTTATCTCCATTTTAAAGGAAAAACTTGAGATAGTATCAGTCATAATCTGTATGTTTTCCTGATATATTTCCAGGTTTGTTTTATTTTCAGAGTGTAACTGACAAACATAATCAAACCTAGTTTCCATCCTGTTGTCAGGATTATCAGAAAAAAGAGGCTCTCTTTCAAATATTGAAGCTGGTTAGAAGCACAAAGTTTCTCTTTCTCACCAACAGTCTCTTAAACAACAAGTTGCATTGGACAATCAAAGACATTGTTCAGAAAGCCTCAAATCAGACATCATGTAATGATATTCTGGATCTTTTTTTTAAAAATGCTTCCTCTTTGCTACTTTAAATAAATCTGAAAGGGAACAGTTTTATTCACAATGTATGAGAAACAGTTCAAAGAACTATTTCCTCAAAATCTTGGCTACTCAATAAATGATTTAAAATAAAGAATGTAAGAATTCCTGCATATTGAAAAATCCTATTTTTTAACTGTTCCAAATTTACATTAAAAAATAAAAGTTTCAACATCAAAATATGCTTAGTTCCTCCAATCCTTACAAATCCCTTCCAAAAGTAATAGCAGAGCAATAGAATAATGAATTAACAACCATCTTTTCCATACCAAGTTGCTACCCATCTCATATCAGACCACACTGTTTGGCTTTTCCACTCTCATGACTACCATCTTCTCCCCTTTGACAAAAAGCAATGAAAATCCAGTAACAGCTTGTTCTAGGTCAGTATTTCCCCAAAGCAGTGGGTCTGCCAGAGGGTCCTATAACAGCCATTGCAGCAGTCTCCAATGTCTGGGAAATACTGCTGATGCAGCAGGTTGCCAGAGAAGTCTAACTTCTCCATTGGCACAACAGCACTGACACTGCTGAGGTTACTCATCTGTGGCCTTAGACTAAAACACAGCAAGTAGCCCCAAGAAGCAGCCAACTGAAAAGGTCTCAGCACTATCTTCTATGACTACTCCATCTCTCAGACATCAGTCAACCTGCTGGACTTGCAAGAACCTACACTATGACACAACTTCCTATGCAGCAAACAATATATCTTTTGCTACCCAACTGCTCATGGTCCTCAACTAATTAGAAATAAACTGTTAAATTCTCTGGATTTCCTATCTTCCTCCTCTAAAATTTCATTTTGCTAACAGCAGAATCAATGGTACTGATGAATGATAATAACAAACCAGTACCAATCAAGATGAGACACCAAGATAGGTAAATTTTAGCATCATAATGAAGTGCAAGTCAAAATATAGGCACTACACAGGTACAAAAAAATTAAAATTAAATCCATATTCATATGTTGCAGTAACCTTGGCATTGCTTAGAAATAATATTCCATCAAAACTAAACTGCAGTAGTAACATTCAGAAATGGACACTTGGAGCCAATCTTCACATACCAAAAATGGAGGAAAAAGTGTCTCTTTCTAAAGTCAGTGACTTCCAATGACACAAGAAGACTGTGTCTGTGTTCACAAATAGAAATATTAATCATAATCTATCCACATAAGACACATCTTTGGTTCAGCTGCACTTTACAATTTTCTTCAGTAGTGCCCTTAATTTTAAGCCTGCAGCATACATTGGTCTTTCATATTAGGAAAAATTAAAACTGTTTACATTCGACAATAAACAGCACTTACACATTTAAAAACTATATTTGGGGCACTATTTTAATATTATCATAATATATTAAAGAAGATGCAGCAGAAGAGACATCACAGCTTTATTCTCTAATTCCAAGTATGCCTTTAATTCCAAGTATATATTCTCTAATATTAAATTCTGCAAAAATATCCCCCAAGATTCAGTGATTTCTTTGGGAAGAAATTAGCTTTTTTGGTCTTTTCCTCCAAACCATGGTATACAGGTAACTGGGCAGATGGTGAAAAAAAAAAAAAGAGAACTTTTACTCCTACAGTAGTTTACCACTTCTACAAAAATAAAGATACCATTATGTTTTTACACTTGCTGTAGTTTCCACTGCATAAAGTCCTGAGGGGGATGGGGGGTTCCACTTTATGTACACAGTGGTATATTGCAGTATCAGTGGTGGCAGGAAACTGCTCTCTTCACAAAAAGGGAAGCTGTCTGCCTGCAGTTTTTTGAAGTCACAGCCTAGTTTAACCCTATATGGGCACATCCACCTTCCACTGAAGCCAAACCCATTCAGTCTTTTCAAGTGTGATATGCGGTTGTGAGAAGCAGAATAAGAAATGGCAGAGTAAGTGTTGATTGCACTCATGCGTATGCCTAACTTATAATGCAGCAACTATAAAAGGTCACGTCTTGCTAAAGCTGAAGGTCAAGACAAACTGCCTGGTAACTGCACAGGGATCACATTTAGGCTACGGCATTAAGAGGCTTTTTCTGACTCGTGCGCAAGATGATGTATGTCCCACTCATTTGTCCTCCTTATGAGTAGGCAGGAAAATCATAAGAAGATACCCTACAATGGGAAGTCAGTACCTTGGTATTAGAGCATTTTAGGCTTTATTGAAAAAAGAAATCTTTACAAGGAAGTCGCATAAACATAGCTGGCTTCCCAGTAACTGTGTTTACTAATAACACAGTCTAAACACAATTGTATGCTCCTACTGCATTAAGTTCTGATGGCATCTTCAGCAGAGTTTAGAAGGCCTGCCAGAAGGTCTTTGAATTATTTATGGGGAAGTCATCCTCATCATCAAAGCCATTGGACAATCTCTGCTGAATCAGGGGTGTATTTATGGATTAAAAAAAAAAATACAAACAAAACAATATTTTCACTCCAGTTCCAGGCAAAATCTGCAGCTGTTAGCATGGAAGCGAAGCAGCATTTCTTCACTGATAACACTAACACAGGAAAAACCTTGCATTATAGGAAAGTAACAGAACAATCTACAGCCAACTGAGAATTGCATTTTTCATATTTCTTGCTTATTTTCTATATTTCCTTCTGTTTGTATAATGAAAAAACAAATAAATCAGATTTTGCTTTGCAAAGTTACTTTGATTTAAAATAACCCAATTGAGACCACAGGAGTCCTAGAAGGTTTTTGAAAGATAGTTTAAACTAAGAGATTGATCAAGCACTAACTGAAAACAAAATTCATTGATGACATTGAACCACTTTGGAAAACTCAGAATTGAAGGTACAATGTAATAGGATGATGTAGTCCTTGATTCCTCGTGGACATGAAGTCACTATCACTCTCATAACTGACTGTTAGCCTACCTGGTGTAAAATATTATAAAATATTTATACATTTAGTCACATAACAATTTTTGTTCAAATAAGTGCTGTTTTTTAGTCTTTCAAGGGAAATGAGTTTTGTGTGATTATTCTGCTTGTCTGTCAAGATTTCCCAATATCTAATTCCAGCAAGTAATTCAAATTTGGAATGCTACAGAAATTCCTGCTAAGAGAAGAACAACTCAGGTAAGTACCATCACTGAAGGAAAACAGCTTCAGCTGTAATGCCAGCCAGCACATTTGCAGCTTTACTTTAATTTCCTATTTAGGAGAAAAAAAAAAAGCACCTTGAAACTACAAATACCTGCACCCAACTCAGTGGGTTCAGCTTAGTAACACAGCAATAGTGAGTTTCCTGTAGGGGAAAAAACAAACAAACAAACAACACACACACACACACACACACACACAAAAAGTCCTACTAAAAACCCTACAAGTCTCTTTTGAAGTTGGTCTGTGGTGAGTTATTGCTGTGTTTATCATAACTACAGTGTCTTGAAACAGCTCAGACCCGGATTCTTTTCAGTCCATTTTTCTGAGTTGTCAACAGAATAGTTGGTAGTTTCTCTGTATTCTTTATTTTTGTGTCACATTTAAGATAGTTTAGTAGATATTAAGCATATATAGTTAATGATTTATCCATCATTCTGATGAGATATGATTGTGCTGTCACTTTCCTTTATGCTGCTGCAATACTTCTCAAGAAGAAAATAAAATTATTATTCTTCTATCACCATAACTGCACTAAGGAATACAATTCTAAATCCCAAGGCTTTTGTTAAGCAGTTTTCATCATGGAGTTGAATAACCAGTCAAATTAGCAATGTAAATATTATTGGTGTTTTACTAGATATGGCTTCTTAATGACTATTAGAAAACTGTTGTCATTGGGAGATTGGGGTGGGGGGTTTAACCCTTCCAACTCCTTTCCCATTGTCCATCTCTTGGCATTAAAAATTATTAAAAATTCTGTATTTTCTTCTTTTTTGTAATACTATCATTTGTGCTATTTCATTACTATTATTATTATTATTATTATTATTATTATTATTATTATTATTACCTTCCATACACACCCCCCCCCAATCTATGCATGTCAAATTTTGTTCTGTTACTACAATGCATTTTCAGTGGAAAATAACAGTGTGTTCTGAATAGTAATCTGTTGCACCACTCATTTTAAGGGGAAAGAGGCAAGACACATGACAAAAATCATAGAGTGAAATAGCTGGAAGTCCACCTACTAGGAAAGGCTGGATGGCAGAACCACTGTGCAATGTTGCTGTAAAGAAATGCAAAGTAAGTATTGTTTTACTTTTTATGATTCTTACATAAAAGTTTATTTTTTACTTGAAAGCACGGGTGTAGGATAATTTATAGTTAGAGATTTATATTGTTTAGAAATCACACTGGGCAGCCTTAGACTTGAATAAAAATTATTTCAGACATTAAATGATTCTCTAAGCAAGTGCAGAAGAATGAATTTTGGAAAATTCAGTATTACTGACATTTCCTTTCAAAACCCCCTTGCTCTTCCCCTGCCCCCTCCCCATCCTTCCATCACCTCAGACAAATCTCTGATTAACTGACACATTATGTGCTCCTCAGTTATCCATTTCTCCAACATCCAGTTCTCAGATCTCATCTAAACACACATCACTTGTAAAATTCAAATACTTCTTAACCATTACTATTGTTCAATTCAGATACTATGCCCCATGAAAGATTAAATGTATTCCACTAACCTCTTTCAAATGTATTCTACCAGCATAATCACATTCCTATCTTGTTACCTTCCCTTTCTAAACTATTCCTCCACATTTCCTCTGTGGAAATGCCAGCTACATTTCCCTAAAGGTATGTCATTGTTTTTCACAATCACCTTTGTGCTTCCTTCCTCATTTTATTTGCCAGTTGCCCAGTTTCCCTAGTCTCCTTAGTTCTACATCCTTATTTAAATTTCTATACCTTTATACAAAACAAAAAACCACCTCACCGCTGACATGTTGTTGTCATTAACTACAAACTAACATTACCTACAGAGAGAATTCCTTTTGCTATTCTCTGCTTGGAAGATTTCACACTGTAGAAATATGAATTAGAATTCCTTCCTTCTTATTCTTTTACTTATCAAATATCATTCGGGAAATCAATTCAGGTTTCAAACCAGAATACATCTAGTATTTTTTCTGTATGATTTAACTGAGCTTCTGAAGAATGTTTGGTATACTGTAAACATTACTGAGCAAAAAATCAAGTCCAAAGAATGGTCAATTGAAAATGATTTTAAAAAACCCAACTCAACAGGTTTAATTCTAGTATGTTGGTTCCTAGCTGCCAGATTTCCGTAGAAAACACTGTAAACAATTACCAGGCAGCTTTGTAGGAATTTTATATTTTTCAAAAAAAGATAATCAAATGAAGACATTTGAGAGATGCTGTTCTAAAATCATACCAAACCAAGACCAGAAGTTTAGAGAAATTTTAGCAGCAATGATATAAGAAAGCAGTCAGTTAGAAATGTCTGCCCAAAACCTACTTCCTTTCTTTCACAAAATCTGTACACTGGTCTGAACTAGCATGTCAATTCCTATAAATCTGTATGTAGAGAAAACAGCAAAACAGTCTTGGTTTCACTATAGCTCAAGAAGGACAGGAATGGAAGTTCCCAGTTATTACCCACTAGCCCAGCACATGACCCCTACGTAGTGGAAGGCTGAGACACAGAATTTCCTCTCGTGCATTACCTTCTTTCAGTTTTTCAGTACTTTCAGTTTTCTCAGCTATAAGTATCATGGAAAACACAGGGCTCACCACAGTCCCCAGTACACTCTGCCTGAACATATAGGTGAAAGAAGAGCAGTGAAGCAGCTCTTTGCTTCCATGACAGCATAAAGAAGGGACAGACTCCAGCCTGTGGTGTGCCCAAGCTGTGAGAAGACATGGTCCTAGAGACCACGGTAAGTTTTGCACTGTGCTGTGCTCTATACTATCTGTTTCCTCGTGCTGCCAGTGTTTTAGGAGGTATGTGCACCTCTCTGCTAAGTATTGCTACTGCAGTGGTGGCAGAGTTCAGCTATCAGAAGACATCTAGCCAGGCATGATTTAGTCAAAGTAATTTAATACTATGTTACAGAGAAAGCACATTTAAAATTGTAGTGCAGTTTACAAATTCATTGTTTATACTTAGATTGTATGTAATGAATTGATACCATCCATAAGGAAGATAATATGTTGGTGGCTTTATACAATGCTGTTGTGAAGAAATGGAGGCAGAGGTTGGTATTTCATGTTATTGTGGTACATGAATTTTTTTTTCCCCTCGAGTGGAATACCAGAAAAGACAGAAACATTGATTTGAATGAATATTCACCAAGTGGGATGGTTTCAGTATTGTGCAGGCAACTTTAAAGTGATGCTGTACACAGAGAAGCCCTAAGCACAGAATCAAAGTTCAGCTTTCCAGGGATGTTTGAATTTGCCTTTTGGGGTCAGCCCATCCCAAACTCAGGTAGTGCCAGAACATCAATAATCAAGTTTCAGATATTTGAGTCAAAGATAGATATTTTGTCTCCAAGATTTCATTCTCAGTACTTTTTTTCCAAGTTAATTCATAACAACAGCAATAACCACACTGAAATTTCAAAAGTAACAGTACATTTGAATTGCAATAATATAGGCCTTCTGATAGTTTATGCAACAGAATTAAAAATATTTTCTGTAAGATTAAAAGAATAGTAGGTTTTGGTATATTACAATTAGAAAGTGAGAGCTCTTATTTTCAGGCATAATGGGATTTACCATCTCCAGAAAATGTGGTTCAGAAGTGTTTTCAGTATAACTTCTGCTAGATCAGAAATACCTTACAGGAAAATGAATGTTTCTGCTGCAGCAACTGAGATGCAATCCTGCACTGAGTTTCTCAGTCTGGTGAATTTAAGCTTTAAGTGGATTGGAAGGGACCTGATGCACATAAGTCATGCAATCCCTTGAGAAATGATTTTCAAATAACCTAATAAAATATTGCACTGCTTACAGCTTATTAGAAAGAAACAGTGAGCAGCAATAGCATGTGGCTACTATGCCTAGGATTTAAAGGCTGGATTTAGCTGTCATGTCCATAATTCTTAGCACATTGGTTATGTAAAGGAGCAGGTGAGAGGGGGGTTTAGTTTCATATTAAGGAAAGTAAAAAGGCTCTATGGAATGTAATTGCAGGTTAGTAAAAAGTATAAGGCAGCTTTGCTCCACTATTTACATATCAAGACAATTTATGGAAATCTGGTAAATTTTCACAAGATACTTTAAAGGTTATCTTCCCAAGGAGAAGGAATAAGATATGAGAGCTTCTTGACCACCATTGATAGTTATGATAGTAATATCTCTGCAAGTTTCCAGATATCCAAACAATAGTCTGCTTGTTCACAGGATTTCCATACATGAGAACATTTTGAAGGTAATTACCATTCATCCTGAGGTAGAAAGTTAAGGGTAAAGGGACAGAGCAAGCAAATGCCTTGAGAATAACCTGATAGAAGTAGCATCACAGTATGTGGACAACACTTAAGAACAGAGAAACTATAAAGACAACAGACAAGATGAGTCAAGACACAGAGGGTCTTGATAAACCTAGCTGGTCAGAGAAACCAGAATAATTAAAGACAGAAATTGTCAAGTTTGGTAATGATATATACAATCCTGAGCACAGAAAATGAGGGTATCACAAAAACAATCTTCAGCAAAGCTGACACCTCAAAACTAGAATGGCACAAAAATTTGAGATTACATACCAGAATGCATCATCGAAGACTACTAAGGTAGCAGCTAAATTTAGGATAAAGAAGTACTAAAGGAGCAAATTACAAGACAAAAGAAGTAAACTTCAACCTCATAGAAATTGCATGTACTGGATGCACAAGTGATCTAGTTGTATGTGATTGCAAAAGGGAGCAACTGAAAATAAAATATAAAACCATTACAGAGGACTGAAGTGAAAGTGCTTTGTTTTGAATACATATTAAATCCAGTGATTACTGCTTTGTAATTTGTGAAAACAATTTCAGGACCTTTCCACTGAAACAGAAAAAGTTACCATCACTTTTAATAGAACTAACGTCAGAGTAGCTGAAAATATAATAAATGCATAAACAATTCACTGGAAAATGAAGGTTATTAAAATAACTATTTAATGTTTGATGTGTAAGTAAGGAGCTCTAGTTTCAACCTTTAGCTGCAATCTTCATGGACTTAGATTACCCTTTGTCACACAGCCATCCTTGCACAATTTCTCTCCTGTTCCTAAGGAGACAGAGATCAACCTTGCTGCCACATCCCATTAGGAGCAAAGCTGATAAAATGTGCTGGGATTCCAAGGAGACATAGCTTCTTTCATTACATTTGTCACAATATTGATTAGATTAGGTCTGAAGTTCTTCTTTGGCCTGCTACTGACCCCTCCCATCTCCTGAGAAATTCAGCAATGTAGGGAACAAAATTGAAAATGACTAGAACAATAGAGATGTTTAAGATAGCTGTAGCTCATGGGACTTGCATAGTTGTGACAAGTGCTGAATTTTACTAACTATGCATCCTAATCCATTAATCCCAAATTTGACAACTAAATATTACATTATCTTCTTCACAGTAGTTAGCCTTTGGGATCTTAATAGCATGAAAATATCACATAAAATATTTTTATTTCTTTCACTGGAGTAAATAACATGGTTGAAGTGCTGCCTAGCTCATTTCACCCACAGAGTACCCAAAGAGTAAATAAAGAGCCAGTAGGTTTGCTCTCTGTGAATCCTTATATCAACTGTCTTCTGCAGTATGTTTAGTTTTAGATATTACACTCATGCAGGATAGCTGATGATATTTCATGTCAGAGAACTGTGTAACTGAACCATATGGCATTCAGCTAATCATAGCGGTCAATAGCTAAAGACTCTTATACCTGTTCTTGCATTTTCAATAGGCTTTACTTACTGGCATTAAATGCTTCTAATATAGTACATGTTCTTCATTGATGTAGCCTTTGTAGGTAACAGATTTGACAGTTCTGAAAGCATAAAGAACTACTCCGAATTGCTAAATATGTTTTTTGATTTGGACTGAATAGAGGCTAGAGATTATTTTTTTTTTCAAGTATAAGATAATTTTTTCCTCTTTTACACATGGGCTACTCTACAAATACCATCAGTAGGCACATCTGAATTACAAAGAGCCCGAGAACTAAGTTCAGTAAATGTCACTCATTTTCCCTACACCTTTACCTCCCACGTATAACACCCACTCCTCTG